ATTTAATAAAAAATGTAAGCACATGCAGAATTTACAGTAAAAAAATATATATATATGGCTTTTTTAAAATGATAAGAAATATATATTTTTCCCAATCCTGGTAAAATGTACGACGTTTTATATTTTTAGTGACGACTAAAACTAGTGTAAATGTTTTGCTTTGTTTTATATCATGTGTGTTTACATAATTTATTTATTCATTTATTTTCATTTAAAAGAAGCGAATAAGACTCGGGACAATTGAATGTGCACACGTGCGTGAGAGAGAGAGAGAGAGACAGAGAGGGGTTTTTAGAGGTTTTGGGAAACCTCTCATTTGAAAAATTGTCATACCTGTGCTAGGAGGAAAACTTTGTCTCACGGAAAAATGTAAGAGGAATTTTATTTATTTATTTATTGTTTTATTTTCAATTTCATTATACATTACAGAGTGTGCGTGCACGTGTGTATGTGTGTGTGTGTGTGAGAGTGAGAGAGAGACTGTCCCCTGTTTCCTATAGTCTGGTATAGTTTGCCTGAGCGTGTGTGTGTGTGCGTGTGTGTGTGTGTGAGAGAGTGAGACTGTCCCCAATCTGATGTGAGCATAAGTATTGGGACAGTAGAACTTAAAGCAAATGTAAAAGTTTAAAAGCTAATATTTAGTTGCGAATCCCTTGCATGCAATCACAGCAGTGAGTCTGCCACCCATAGACATCACCGGACTCTTGGTTTCATCCATTGAAATGCTTTTCCTAGCCTTTAATACAGCCATTTTCAACTGTTGCTTGTTTTGGGGAGTTTCCACCTTTAGTCTCCTCTTTAGCTGGCGAAATTCATGTTCAATAGGATTTAAATCTGGAGACTGACTTGGCCAATCTAAGAGGTCATTGTCCTGTTACAATATGAAGCACTTTCTAATGAGTCTTGTGGCATTTTCTTGAACATTGGTAGCCAAGATGTTTTTGTACACTTCTGCATTCATTCTGCTATCACCATTATTTGTTAAGTAATTAATAAAGTTGAGAGAGCCTGTTCCAGAGGCAGCCATGCATGCCCACGCCATGACACCACCTCCACCATGCTTTACAGATGAGGTTGTATGCTTAGGATCATTTGCAGTTCCTTTTTTCTCCACACTTGCTTTCCCATCACTTAGATAATAGATCATCTTTGTCTCAACTGTCCATAAAACTGTCCCAAAACTCTACTGGCTCACCTTTGTGCTTTTTTGCGAACTCTAATCTTGCCTTTCTATGATTGCTGATGATCAGAGGTTTGCATCTTGCTGTGTAGCCTCTGTAATTCTATGTCAAAGTCTCCTGCGGACAGTAGATTGTCAGACCATCACTCCAGCTTTCTGGAGATTGTTGGTGATTTTACAGATACTTATTTTAGGGTTCTTTTTCACAGTTTTTATGATTTGTCTGTCATCAACGGCTGTTGTTTTTCTCAGCCAACCAGGTCGTTTTTGGTTGCTGTAGTCGCCGATGGTTTCTTTCTTTTTCAGGACAATCCAAACTGTTGATTTATCCATGCCCATTGTTTTTGATATAGCTCTAAATGAGTTCCTCTTTTCTTTTAGCATCCGAATTGCTTGCTTGTCTCTCAAAGTCAGCTCCCTCGTCTTCATCCTGGTTTGTGTGTGACGTCATCAAATGCAAGACTCAGAATGGAGAAACAATGGCTATAACTGATACAACACATTCCCTGCTTTTAATATCTGAACAATTAATGCAACATGACACAGCTGATCACTTAGAAAGACCTGTGAGTCAACTGTCCCAATACTTATGCTCACATCAGATTAGGGGTTGAAACTCTAAAAGTGCTGATCTTCTTAGTTGGTAAAGCATCTATGTATTGAATCACCCAATAATAAAAATGTGATATTCTGTAGTTTTGTCTCATATTCATCTTTTAATCATATTTGCAGATGTCTTGACTCCACAGCAGACAAAGCAATTTTGTCATTACTGTTCCAATACTTATGGAGGGCACTGTATGATCTTTAATTGGCAAAGACATATTGATTTTTAATTACAGTCAGACTTTTAGAATAGATGGATAGTGATATAAAATGTTTTATTTACATTTGCTTATATAGCGGTACAGATGATGGTTAATTCTGAGCTAGCATGTGTGTCGTATGTCCCCATACTTACTGCTGCTGTCATGTTGTGTATTGTGGGGGATGGGCAGAAGTTAAGTGTGTCTCTTGCCAAATTGGACCATGGTTTGTGTGTCGTATGTCCCCATACTTACTGCTGCTGTCATGTTGTGTATTGTGGGGGATGGGCAGAAGTTAAGTGTGTCTCTTGCCAAATTGGACCATGGTTTGTGTGTCGTATGTCCCCATACTTACTGCTGCTGTCATGTTGTGTATTGTGGGGGATGGGCAGAAGTTAAGTGTGTCTCTTGCCAAATTGGACCATGGTTTGTGTCGTATGTCCCCATACTTACTGCTGGTGCCGTGTTGTGTATCGTGGGGGATGGGCAGAAGTTAAGTGTGTCTCTTGCCAAATTGGACCATGGTTTGTGTGTCGTATGTCCCCATACTTACTGCTGCTGTCATGTTGTGTATTGTGGGGGATGGGCAGAAGTTAAGTGTGTCTCTTGCCAAATTGGACCATGGTTTGTGTGTCGTATGTCCCCATATTAACTGCTACTGTCGTGTTGTGTATTGTGGGGGATGGGCAGAAGTTAAGTGTGTCTCTTGCCAAATTGGACCATGGTTTGTGTGTCGTATGTCCCCATACTTACTGCTGCTGTCATGTTGTGTATTGTGGGGGATGGGCAGAAGTTAAGTGTGTCTCTTGCCAAATTGGACCATGGTTTGTGTGTCGTATGTCCCCATACTTACTGCTGCTGTCATGTTGTGTATTGTGGGGGATGGGCAGAAGTTAAGTGTGTCTCTTGCCAAATTGGAACATGGTTTGTGTGTCGCATGTCCCCATACTTAGGCTACTGCTGGTGTCCTGTTGTGTATTGTGGGGGATGGACAGAAGTTCATTGGACCATCGTTAGTGTGTCGTATGTCCTCATACTTACTGCTGGTGTCATACTATGCATTACAGTGCAATACGTTTGTGATCTATACATTTTGTTATTGTGAAACTATTAAAATAATGTGTTTAAACCCTATCCCTACCTCTTAACATCTAACTATTTTAATATAATCACTTCTAATAAATTTGACTTTTTTTTCCCTAACAGAATTGTAAACATGACGTAGTCTCCTCAGTAGTATCAAGCTTGAATAAATGTGAATGCTGCAGTGGACCCTTTTCCGCTTTTAAGTGGATTGGTGTGAGATGTAAGGGTAAGTATTTTGTTCTGAAAATTAAAAGATTCTCATCTAAATTATTTTGTACCATCAAAAAACAAATTATTGTGTAATCTTGATATCCTAAATGTATCATATTTTGGCTTAAAAAAAGCTGACATTTCTTTCTTTCTCCACCTATCTACCTTTATAATTGTATCTGTTCATATTTCTCAATCTCTCCCTGAAGTTCTGTTGAATGCTCTCTCTTAACATCTAACTATTTTAATATAATCACTTCTAATAAATTTGACTTTTTTTTCCCTAACAGAATTGTAAACATGACGTAGTCTCCTCAGTAGTATCAAGCTTGAATAAATGTGAATGCTGCAGTGGACCCTTTTCCGCTTTTAAGTGGATTGGTGTGAGATGTAAGGGTAAGTATTTTGTTCTGAAAATTAAAAGATTCTCATCTAAATTATTTTGTACCATCAAAAAACAAATTATTGTGTAATCTTGATATCCTAAATGTATCATATTTTGGCTTAAAAAAAGCTGACATTTCTTTCTTTCTCCACCTATCTACCTTTATAATTGTATCTGTTCATATTTCTCAATCTCTCCCTGAAGTTCTGTTGGATGCTCTCCTACTTAATCCCCCGTCATTCTTAGTTTACAAATTTTTCTTACTTTTTTCCTCCTTTTTCTTTTCTCTATTCTCTTCCATCTTCTAGCCGCACTTTCGAACACACTAATTCTCTATCGCTCTGTTATCTATCACTTTTTAAAGCAACTTTTCTTGAATCAAATGGAACCAACCTTGTTTATTATATCCTCAATCTAGTTTGTTCCTGCTTCTGGCATAAAACTTGCTACAAGAAAAATGTGAAGCCCAAACCTGACCCATTAACATCAGTAAGTGTGATTTATCGAATAGTCAGATTTTTTTTTTTTGAGTAATTTTTCCTTAGAAGTAAACTTTTTGAATATGTACAAATAATATTTTTGCTATTTCAGGATTCTGAAGAAGAACTTTCCAGTGAGAATTTGTCCGATCGGGACTATGTACCTAATTCTGTTTCAGAAAGTTCAGAAGTGGGCATAGCGTCTTGAGAAAATGAATGTCCTGAACAACTCTTAAACATGCCGACTACTAAAGTGTCCTGCTTTGAATCTACTGCAGAAATTCAAAATGGCAGACCATGCCAAGAAAGCATCATAGGTAAAGATTCACACCCAAAAGATCCAGTCTGCACAGCACAGCTTGAAATGTCTTGCATGAAAGCCAAGCAAGTACAAGTATCGGAAGTTCACAATGAAGCAAGCGTTGGTAATACTGAAGACACATCTGTTGAGAATATCACAAGCACAGGGGAAGATCCATGTATACAATCTTCAAATATATCTTCTTCAGTAAGCAAGAAGAATTACTGCTACATTTGTGGAAAACTGCAGTCAAAATTTACACGCCACTTAAAAACCCATGAGAAATCAAATGTCGATGTTGCTCGGGCTTTGGCATTGCCAAAACACTCCAAAGAACGTCAAAAACTTCTGAACAAACTGCGGAACAAAGGGAACTACGAACACAATGCAGATGTTTTAGCGAGTGGGACTGGACTGTTAAAACTCAGACGTAAACCAAAGAAAATATATAATTCAAAAGATTATGTGCATTGTATGTATTGCCATGCAATGTTTCTCCGGAGGGATCTCTGACGACACGTTCGAAATTGTCTTTCCAAACCAGTGGAAGATCAGGCAGAGCCAGGAAGAACTAGGGTCTTGTCTTTGGCAACAATGTCTAATACAGCTCTCTGTCAACAAATATCACAGGGTGTTTGGAAGCTGTTAACTGTGATGAAAGACGATGACATCTCTGCTGCTGTGCGGAGTGACTTTTGCATTCTTCAGCTGGCCCAGTCATTTTTCAATAAACATGGACAGGATCCCACCAAATATGACTATATTCGACAGAAGCTCCGGGAAGTTGGAAGACTTCTGCTGATTCTGAGAAAAGAATTTTCAGTACAGACTCTTGAAGATGCTGTAAGACCTGCAAATTTTAATGTGGTTATCCAGGCTGTCAAGAGGGTATCTGGGTTTGATGATGAAAAACACTCATACCAGACTCCAAGCCTTGCCCTCAAGTTGGGCCACTCTCTGAATAAGATATGTGACATTATACATTGCAGAGCTCTAATGGCAGAAGACAGTGAGGGGATAAAGTCAACCCAAACATTCAAAAAGCTGTCTGATGCAAAGTGGTCTGAACTTGTTTCTCACACAGCTTTGACCACCTTGAATGAGGGGCACTTTAACAAGCCATCCACCCTCCCTTTCACAGAGGATGTACAACGTCTTCACCAGCATCTTGAAAAGGTTGCCGATTTAGCCTCTGAGAACTTGAAACAGATGCCATCAGCACAAGTCTATGGAGAACTTTGCAAAGCAACTCTAGCAAAAATCATACTGTTTAACCGACGACGTTGAGGAGAGGTTGCAAAGATGCAACTGAAAGGTTTTCTAGAGAGGGACACAGCTGCCCTACATAAAGGTGTTGCTGTTGGGCTAACAAAGTTTGAACAAAAACTTTGTGCACATTTCAGTCAGGTGGAAATTAGGGGTAAAAGGGGGCGAAAAGTTGCAGTCTTGTTATCGCCAGACATGGTTGATGCCTTAACACACCTCATAATCAGAAGAACAGAGTGTGGAGTCCCAGAAGAAAACACATTCCTGTTTGCAAGACCCAACTGTTTGACTCCATATCGAGGACAAGACTGTCTGAGAATTTATGCAAATGAGTGTGGTGCGCAAAACCCTGAACTCCTCCGGTCGACACAGTTACGCAAACATGTTGCAACTTTGTCACAGGTCCTGAACCTCAAAAATCATGAGTTGGACCAAGTTGCTGACTTTTTGGGCCACGATATTCGTGTCCACAGAGAGTATTACAGGCTTCCGGAGGCTACAACCCAGCTGGCCAAAATATCTAAACTACTACTTGCCATGGAGAAAGGGTCACTTACAAATCTTCAGGGCAAAACACTAGAAGAGATTGAAATTGAAGGTAATGCTACTAAGTTGTTACAAATTACATTTTCAAGTTTACTGTAAAGATTCAAGTATTCATATCCTAAAGATAATCCCTAGCATTCAGACCTTAGATCTTTAACAATGTAATATTCATCAAACTTCAGAGTGATCACCATCTCCTCTTTTTTTTTACTCTAACATTTGCAAAGTTAAACTTACTTGATACTCTGAATGTTTATTTTTTGTTAGATAAGTTAGACTTTACTGATTCTGAGCAAAGTGAAGACAGTGATGCTGAGGAGATACATCCACAGACACAAACAGAAACAGGTAAAAGCACATAAACATACAAACATAAAATCCATAAAGTCAGCATAAGAAGTGTACCATATGATGCACCAAAACATTATAATAGTTCAGAGCTGTTACTGAAGCAGCATGGTCTTGATTCATTTCATATAGACCAAGCACTACTACTGTTTGTTATCGTATTTTATTTTTCTATTCACAGATATTGACTCTGCCTTTGGAGGCCCATCTCAAGGTTTGACAAGAATAAAAAGTTTTCAACTTCAAACCCATTTTAAATATATATACTAACACATTTTGAAACTAAACTTGAGTGTGAAAATGTTTAAAATGCAGTTTAGATTGCTTGATTTATTGTATTGTGTAAATGACACAAGATTTTGAATTTAGGATTAACAAGTTTTTTTTCTGTTTGTTTGTTTGTTTTTTTAAACAAAGATTGTGGTAGGAAAGACAAAGAGCGGAGCAGGAGGGAAGAGCATGAACAACATGGTAAAAGCACAGAAGCATATACAGAAAAAACACTGTACTAGGGAGTCGTGTAGATCAATCATTTTAACCGTTTTTGTTTGTGATGGAGAAATTTTAATTTCTCCATCACACAATTTACAGAGATTTACAGTTTCATTTTAAAGGTGTAAAACAATTTATGAAATGTTTGAGCATGTGCCATCAGAACCTTTATACTGAGCCATACTATTCATACTGCAGGAATGAAGAAGGCTAGGCGCCCTGTTGAGAAACCTCCAGGCACCTCAGATGGTATGAGCATCTACCTCACTCAGCCAGCATCTCCATTGAGGTTTGATTCAATTAATGCAAACCAAGCACTACTACTGTTTGTTATATTTTGTTTTTTCATTCACAGATGTTGACTCTGCCTTAGGAGGCTCATTTCAAGGTATGACAAGAATAAAAGGTTTTTAACTACTAATCTATATCAGGAACTAAGCAACCATAACACACAAATCCGATCTTTAATTTCATTGTTTTATTTACAAATTGATATTTTAGTTGAATGTAACATCAGGATGGACCAACATTTAAAACACAATCTTACAAGGATGGTAACAACACAACCAAATATAATGAATAAATTGCTCCCCTTACTAAAACAAACAGGCAAAAACATGTTTAACAAAAACAGCAGCCCATCATTTTTTACTCAAAGGATTAGTAATCTGTACAAGAAGGCTCGACTAAAGACAAGGGTTGGTAAGAGTGTGGCTGGTTGGGAAAAGAGAGAGATCTGGCCATCATGGTGTTCACCCCAGGGTTCAAGAACCTGTTTTCCTCTTTTGTAGTGATTCGCGATAATTCTCCTGAAAGGGATGATGCAAGAAGGAAACAAAAACAAATATGGTCTCCAACAGAAATCGCTGCAGTAATGAGACATTTCCGGAACCACATCGCAAGGTGTAAACTCGCCACTAAAATGGAATGCCAACAGTGCAAGAATGCTGAGCATCCTGTTTTGGCTAGTTGCTCTGTCCAAAACATAAGAGATTTCGTCAGGAATCGCGGCTTAACACTAAAAAACAAACAGTCACAACATACTCAATAAGTGTTTTTTTTTTACTTTGTTTTGTTTATATGCAAGAGAAACATTCTTCTGCTGTTGAACATCTGTTAAATGATTTAATGTGCTTTCATAATACCGAAAAATGTTTGGTATGAACTTTTACATTTATGAACAGTTATAATTAAGTTTTTTTTTTTTCTTTACACACAGGACGTTTCTTTATACACAAAATGTTAGTGTATCTTATGATGTAATATTATAAGGGCAACTACTGTAATGTTGCTGTAAACAAAAACTAATTAAACTTTGCTCCTTGTTCACAGACTGCATACTGTTATATGTCCTCATGTCTTGTTTGAATGTTGTGTCTTCGCTTAAAGATGATCACCCAGTCAGGGTTTATTCTGCAATAACAACCGGCTGTATGTACATTATCCCTTATGTCACACAAATAGTAGGTCCTTGATATAAATATAAATGTATTGTTTTGCTAATACTTATGTGTATTTAGATGTCTGTTGACATCCTAAACCTAAAATAATCATTATATGGTTGGAAAACACTGAATAGTTGTGATAATATGACAAACACTCAGTGCGTCCGTCCATGGCTCAGTGGCAGGAAAAGCACAAAAGCAGATTTGAATTTAGCAGTTCATCCCGTGTCGTACATGTCAAAGAGTTAATTACACAATTAATGCATTAATTCTGATAGCTCTAGGAGAAAGTTCTTCTCCTTCTCCCCAATGTCAGCCAAGTTCTCCCATAGGTGCCTCTCTGTGGCCACCGTCGCTGCCATCGATCGACCATTCAGCAGTCTGTCTGGTAGCCCAGAGAGCCAGGTCTGTAGTGCAGCACAGCTCGGCCGCCACCTCAGTGGAAAGACCCTGGACCTGGTACATATCCTTCAGCATGTTGGCCTGGTATTCCTGCAATACAGCTATTGTATGCAGAGCACCACCAGTCTGACATGCTGCCGCATACACTCACAAGATGTGACACACAGTAGTTTAGATGGCAGAGTTGGGTCCTTCAATGATGATGTATCACCCAATTGAGAGATAGCTAGCCAGCATCTCTTCAAAGGAAGGCATCATCTTATATCAATGCTCGCCCATTCCCTCAACATTTGCGCAATTATCGTGACTGAAGAGGTGAATACAAGCAAAATACAGTTTACTCCATGACCTCTCAACCTCAACGTGGAGATCCGGAAGAAACGGATGACTCACAGAAGCTGGAGGGGAATGGCTAGACAGAAATCGCTCGTCCAACCTGCCACAAGCAATCTCATCCTCAAGTCCACAATCTCCACTCTGCCTCAGCACGAGCAGTTCCTGAGCTGTGGTGAGTTGACACTTGTCCCAATTCCATTGAGAAAAGGGACAAACGCGTGGAGCTTTGTAGCTGAAAAGCTCTCGCAGTATGCACATTTAGCCCCATCAAGGACTGACCAACTGACTGAGTTGTATGTGTCCTCAGGTGTCAGAAATTTCTGACGCGGAGACATGCATTTCCTGAAACATTTTGCCTGGAACATTGTATTAATAAATATTGATATTTCATCCAAAAAAAAAAAAAAAAAACAAGACATGGGGAAACCAGGGGTTAAAAAACTTT